ACCAGTCCTAGCTTCACGGCCTAGCTGCCAGGACCAGTCCTAGCTTCTTGACTGAAATGAACTTCTAGATTCAGATCATTTCATTCCATCCCTAGACCCACGTTCACTTCCTTGTGCAGGGGGCACCGTCCCCACCACAAGGGGCATGCCGTTCCTTCCAGGGACAGATAAGCGACTACAGGTATGGAGTCTTCCTTCTCTTTAGGGCAGGCCTGGCCTTCATGGTGCTTGCAGATGCTCACTGAGCCAATCGGGGAACAGAGGCCTGTCTGGCACTTACTTCCTGTGACCTTAGCAAGCTGTCGGCGGTTTGCTTTAGTCGAATACCTCACAACTAAACTAGTTGAATATAAAAACTAAACTAGAGGCGCTGCTTACGTGCGTCCTTTGAATGCAGTGGTCAGTCTGTGCTGCAGGTGTGCATCCCTGCACTGACCAGCGGGGCGGCTGTGGGCAAGACCCTTAACCCATCTAAGCTTTAGTTTCCTTACCAGCAAAGCTTCTTGGCTGCTCAGGGAATTAAATATGTGTCAATACATGCCCCCGGCACACAATTCACGCTCAATATGTATTAACTCTTAACTTCAGAAACCCCATTTTCAAAGGCACAATTGAGAAGGTGTCAACTAGATGTCAGTTACCCTCGAGACAGGAGCACCTCACAGAAATGTATGTTACGACGGCTGCTAAACTAGTGGGTGACAACGCTCCCCACCAGCGTGGCAATTCTGATTGAACACAACAGCTTCAAGGCCAAGAACGCAGCTGCATGCCAGTTCCCAAGAACGCAGCTACCAACCGGGATGTCCCCAAGCAGAGCAGAAGCAGGGAGAGCCTGCCTCCCCCTCTTAACATAGCAATTCAGTAAATATTTATGTTTCTGTACAGATAGGGGGTCAGGGAGAGTTCACACTTAAATTGGCGTTTAGCAGAGCAGGAAGAGCTCGGGTGAGAATGGAATGGTAGAACGAGCTCCCTGGAAGCCTGCAGCAACCTGGGGCTCTTGACAGAAGGCTGGGGAGATGGCGCGCGAGGGTGTTCCCGTGCATGGCTCTGCGATCCACGGATGGGCCGAGGATCAGCGGAGAGAATACATTGCTTCAACACACCTTGTGTTTTTCTTACCCACTACTATGCTTTGAATGGGCTTTGTGTCTCTTCCCACCCCTTCCCGGCCCCTCCTTCACACTGTGGTTGTGTTGATGGTATTGGGGAAGTGATTAGGTTTGGAGGAGGTCATGAGGTTGGGGGCCTCCAGAGGAGATTAGTGGCTTCCTAGGAGAAGGAAGTGGGGTCTAGGCATGTGCCTCCCCCATGTTTCATTCTGCTATGTGACGCCCTCCATCACCTAGTCACAAAGCAAGAAGGTGCTCACTTGATGCTCCCTTGTATGGCATTTCCGGAACTTCACATTTCAAGAGGCAACAGCAATGTCACACCCAGGGCACAGAGTTCCAGAACAATTTGCAATCGGCTGGCATGGGCTACTGTTCTCACGGTCTCCATCTCTGTGACTTGGTTCCATTTTATGGAAGAAGCAGGGGTTTAGAGGAGCTAAATAACCAACTGGAAATGACAGGAAGGTCATCAAGAGTTTGCCATGACTCCTCTCAGGCGCAGGATGAGCTCTGGTCACCTCCGGACTGTGTGACTCTGGAAGGTTCCTCAAGCTAAGATAATAAATAGTTCATTAGATGCTTTGCCAACTGCAATGCTCTATGTCAGTATAAGAGATTAAGAAATTTTGGTTAATGCCATTGTTACTGTCTTCATCATCACCATCATTTTTGTTTCTGTTTCTAAGCAAAATATTCTTAAGAATGCAAACCGTGCGCTAACT